TTTAATCTATAAAACTTTTATAATCCCGTTAATGCTTCTACAAATACTTAGGTCAATAGTGTTTAAGCTTGTTGTTAGATTGCACGTTATAAAACACCTAGCTTGAAGACAATTTTAAAATTGTGTAATAATATTTCGAGTATTGTTATGAATACTGAACAAGGGTGCCATAGTCACAAAATACGCCTGTTTACGAAAGCTTTAGATGGAGATGGGGGCATTATGGATAAGTGTTATCTAGCAAGCAAGTTTTTATTCTTGGCACTGTGTTGTTAAATGAACCTTAAAACAAATCAGTAGGGAAGATATGCACAGGATGTGTGACCTTGACCTTGGTCGCAGGGACCTGAATTTTATGCACGGCACTCGGCCTCACAATGATGAACATTTGTGCCAAATTATATTGAAATCCCTCTATGCATGTAGAAGTTTTGCTCCGGACAAGCGTTTTTCTATGAGCTCTAACTGTGACCTTCACCTTTGACCTAGAGACTTGGTTCATGTGCAGGGCACTACGTCTCATGGTGGTGAACAATTCTATAAAGTAACATTAAAATTCCTCCATGCATGTAGAAAATATGCTCCGGACAACATCTGGATATTTAATCATCTCCAGTGACATTGACCTTGCAAATATTAACCTAAATTAAATGTGTCACACCTGTAGTCATGATAGTTACCATTTGTGCTACAATTCATCAATAAATGATGACTAAATGGTCCCTATACACATCTTCAAATTTTTATCTGAACTTTGACCTCTATGTGTAACCTTGACTTTGGTCGCAGGGATCTGAATTTTGCGTGCGACACTCAGCCACACAATGGTGAACATTTGTGCCAAGTTATATTGAAATCCCCCTATGAATGTAGAAGTTTTACTCCGGACAAGAGTTTTTCAATGAGCTCTAAGTGTGACCTTGACCTTTGACCTGGAGACCTGGATCATGCATGGAGCAATACATATCATGGTGATGAACATTTCCATAAAGTATTATAAAAATTCTTCCATACATGTAGGAGATATGCTCCAGACAAAATCTGGATATTTCACCATCTTTAGTGACCTTGACCTTGCATATATTGACCTAAAGTACATGTGTCACAGCCGTAGTCATGATAATGACCATTTGTGTTACAATCCCTCAATAAATGATGATTAAATCGTCCCTATACACATCTTCATATTTTTATCTAAACTTTGACCTCTATGTGTGACCTTGATCTTGGCTGCAGGGACCTGCGCGACACTCCGCCTCACAATGGTTAACATTTTTGCCAAGTTATATTGAAATCCCTCTATGCATGTGGAAGTTTTGCTCCGGACAAGCGTTTTTCAATGAGCTCTAAGTGTGACCTTCACCTTTGACCTAGAGACCTAGTTCATGTGCGTGACATGGCTTCTCATAATAGTGAACATTTCTATGAAATTTCATTAAAATCCCTCCATGCGTGTAGGAGATATGCTCCGGACAAAATCTGGATATTTCATCATCTTTAGTGACCTTGACCTTGTATATATTAACCTAAATTATATGTATCACAGCCATAGTCTTGATAATGACCATTTGTGTTACAATCCCTCAATAAATGATGACTAAATGGTCCATATACACATCTTCATATTTTTATCTGAACTTTGACCTCTATGTGTGACCTTGACCTTGGCCGCAAGGACCTGAATCTTGCGCGCGACACTCCGCCTCACAATGGTGAACATTTGTTCCAAGTAATATTGAAATCCCTCTATACATGTGGAAGTTTTGCTCCGGACAAGCATTTTTCAATGAGCTCTAAGTGTGACCTTGACCTTTGACCTAGAGACCTGATTCATATGCGCGACACTGCTTCTCACATAGGTGAACATTTCTATGAAGTTTCATTAAAGTCCCTCCATACATGTAGGAGATATGCTCCGGACAAAATTGGACGCCGACCGCCCGCCCGGCCACCCGCCCGACCGCCCGCCCACCAGGGGCGTTCCCATAATACGTCCCGTTTTTCAAACGGGCGTATAAAAAGGGGTTGGTTGGTTGGTTTAGTTCACTTGAAATAGCAATTATGTAAAATGTCCTGACAACAATCTTGGTTAGAACACATTTTCCTTGTTGAGTAAGTTTTTAAAAGATATTATTTTAAATATTCAATCTAAATTATGATGCAAAAAGTCACGAAATAAATATAATTTTCGCTAATTGGTAGAACAGAATGATCATGCCGACTTGGATAGTTGTACTTATAAAATATCTGGCACTTACCAAACTTATCGCCATGAGTATACCAAACCCTAGTTAGAGTACAATTATTTTACAAATTTCCATGAAGCTAGTGAGTGATAGAGGAATGAGGAATATAATCACTCAAGGATATAGGTTTAGATGTTAAAAATGCCTGATCTTAAAAGTTTTAGGAATATAGTCGCATGGATTAAGAGACTTACAAGTTCAAACCATAACTATTCGCACATTTTTCATGAAAATATTGTCAGTAGATTAATGAACTAGTAACAAATTTTGTGAAGATAATTACATGTACATGGAAAGATGCAACAACGTAGAAAATGATATTAAGGATTCAACCAATCGATTGTAGTCTTTCTGATATTTTATCCGGTAAAAACACATCTCACCCCGTACGATCGAACACAAGATTAAAATGCAACGACGACAGTACTATAAGATATACGATATGCACATCAATGGTATGTATAAAAAGACGGTGAGTATTTGTCTGATATGTTTGTTTTATATCTTTCAATAACATTTTTGTTAAAATTAAGATTATGCTTTTGGCACTGATCACATTTGTCACAACGGTGTGACTGGGTAATTGCACATTGATCACATATAAGTAAGAAATGTAAGCAGTTTTTGACAAGCTAAAGTGGAGTTGAATCACATTTGCTACATGAGGATACAGACATACTTTTTGTCACGATATGTCTGATGCAATACCAAAGGCGTAGCATTATAAAACTGATGACCAAATGTCAATTACTCATAAACTGTCATTTACAATCAGATTTTCGCACATGAACTATGTTTCTGGTGAGAATTATGAATTTCATTTGATTTGTATTCATTTAATAGTTACCATACATTTTACATGGTTAACTCGGTTTTATAGTCTTGCTTGCGGCTATATCAAGTACAAAGCTCTGTAAGAGGGACATCAATTAAGTGCCAGTGTTTTAAGGCCCGATGAATAACACATTTAAGCCGTCCGTATGTCATAAAGGGTTACCAATTCTTTTATATTTGGAACCAGTCTGTAAGACTGTCATAAAGTTTTGGAGTTTAGAAAATCGAATCATCGCCAGTAAATTAAACATGACTTAAGTGCCATTTGAATTTCTAGACTAAAATGTATGATATACGTGCTCACGTTAAAAAATTTCAAATTTCAAGAGTTTTTTTAATATAGATCCAAGTTTGCATTGAGTAGACAAATGTGATTCTATGATACTTGAATACCCAACACGATTTCAGTCACAGCAAATGTGAAGATTGCGTTCTGGTATTGTGACGTATGTGATAAATATGATTCTACACAACTTGACAACTTTATGCTCTGCGGAGCTAAACATGCTTAACAATGACACGTGCTTGCGTGATTTTATTCGCAACTTCATTATTATACCCCCAAAAACGAAGTTTGGGGGGGGGGGACTAGTATATAGGAGTCACCCGGTGGTCGGTTGGTCGGTCGGTCGGGCGGTCGGTCGGTCGGTCGGTCGGTCCAGACGTCCGTTGCATTTTCCTTGTCCGGACCATAACTTGAAGACTAATGGTTGGAATTCAATATAACTACATACAATGGTCAAGCACATTGAGAGGAAGTGCAGTGCATAAGAACCATAACTCTATCTAAAGTAATTACAGAGTTATTGCCCTTTGTTACTTTTCCATTGCTTTCTTTTGTCCGGAGTATAACTTGAAGACTAATTGTTGGAATTCATTATAACTTCATTCAATGGTCAAGCACATTGAGAGGAAGTGCAGTGCACAAGAACCATAACTCCATCTTGACTTATTACAGAGTTACTGCCCTTTGTTATTTTTCCATTGCTTTTTTTTGTCCGGAGCATAACTGGAAGACTAATGGTTGGAATTCAATATAACTTCATACAATGGTCAAGCACATTGAGAGGAAGTGCACTGCACAAGAACCATAACTCCATCTTGACAAATTACAGAGTTATTGCCCTTTGTTACTTTTCCTTGTCCAGAGCATAACTTGAAAACTACTGTTTGGAATTCAATACAACTTCATACAGTTGTCAAGGACATTAAAAGGAAGTGCAGTGCATATGAGCAATAACTCCATTTTGACAAAATACAGAGTTACTGCCCTTTGATACTTTTCCTTGTCTGGAGCATAACTTAAAACATACTGGTTGAAATTCAAAACAACTTCATACAATGGTCAAGCACAAAAAGAGGAAGTGCAGTGCACAAGAACTATAACTCCATCTTCAGTATTTATAGAGTTATTGCCCTTTGTTCCTTTTCTTTGTCTTTCTGGACTTATTACAGAGTAATTCAATAAAACTTCATCAATGGCCAACCACATTGAAAGGAAATGCAATATACAAGAACCACAACTATCTTAAATTGCCCACAACCATAACTCTATATTTCAATTCTTTTACAAGATATTCTGTTACTAGTAACATCCTCATTTCCGAAGCAGTCTTGTGGGGGTATTAATCACATTTAGTGATAGTTCTAGTTTCTTCTCCATTACTGTATACATGCAGACCTAGGTTTTTATGCAAGCAATTTGAGTATCTGTTGCAGCCCAAGAGGATTTCTGTGTCATACATTTCTTTTTTAATATTATTTTGGTAACCATAGGTTACCCATTTATTTTTTCTAATCATAATCATAGCTTTACACACAAAAGCACAATGCTTTAATCAAACTCAAATTGTCTTTAAACAAAATAATGATTATATATAATACTAATTCAACTAAGTTTATTGTAAATTTTTTGATTTTAAACAGTTCTATAGGAGTTTTCTACATTTAATATATTTTTGATTACAAGCTAAGCTGTCAGTAATTAATTCTTTACGTCAAACATATTACTAGAAATGTTATAGTAACATTTCTTATTTTTCTGTGAACTGATTAAAGAAAATAAAAATCAACTTTGGATGTTGATACTGGTTGATTGACTGTAACATAATAAATATTTTTATGTGCCATGAGTTTCTTTACTAATAATTTTTTGTCTCAAAGATATTGGTTTGGCCGCTGCTGATGCTATGATTTGATTTTTGATTTTAAAAATGTACCTGTCCATTGAAAAACTTGTATATTATTATTAGAAAACATATATGAGTATAGCATTAACCAGCAAAAGAAAAGTACCATGATGCATGTAAACAAATATGTAATTTCAACCGATGAACTTAAGACAGTGGAAATACGAAGCTACGGTATAAATCTAATTGTTTTTAGATAAATTGATGTAAAGGAGAATGCACTATGGTATAACGCGCGTGCGAGTATTTTAATAAAGATTTATATGTAAGTCTCTGTGTTTTAATTATTGACTGATTTATTATCGTCGTTTTAGGACTAGAAATTTGGCGGTGGTAGGGGATATGCAGGATCACTAGTTCCCGCTTTTTGACCGAATGTTGACCGATTGGTACCCAATAGTCCATACATTTGAGGTTGACCATACATTGGCTGTTGTCCATACATTGGTTGACCATACATTGGCTGTTGACCATACATTTGTGATTGGCCATAGCCATGTTGGCTGTAACCAGGAGGTCCTTGATGTCCAGTTGTTATGATTGCTACACCTGCGTATTATTAAAATAATGACAATTTGAATTATAAGAACACCTAAAAATATTCATCTTAATTACTAATATTTGTAACCGTGCGTTAAATAATTATGTCAATAGTATTTGATAACATGTTACATTTATTTATATATCAGAAACTTTAAAATATTTATTCTGAGATGAAGTTGTATACTGTTCATGATTATATCAATAAAATTTATCTCTTCAAAGTTAGTTGTCATGTATGATAACAAAACATTATTGATATGTTTCATCCCTTCTGTACAATAAGCATGAATCAAACCCTTCGTACAAAAAGACATTGACATTACTTTGTTTAGTACAGCTAGCTTCGTTTAGTACAGCTAGCTTCGTTTAGTAAAGTTACCTTTGTTTAGTACAGCTAGCTTTGTTAAGTACAGCTATGTTCGTTTAGAACAGCTAGCTTTGTTAAGTATAGCTAGCATTGTTTAGTACAGCTAGGTTCATTTACTTAAGTTAGCTTTGCCTTTACACCTAGCTTCGTTTAGTACATTTAGCTTCGTTAAGTACAGCTAACTTCGTTTAGTACAGCTAGCTTTGTTTAGTACAGCCAGCTTCATTTAGTACAGCAAACTTTGTTTAGTACAGTTAGTTGCATTTAGTAAAGTTAGCTTTGTTTAGTACAGCTAGCAGCTACCTTCGTTTAGTACAGCTGGCTTTGTTTAGTACAGCTAGTTTCGTTAAGAACAGCTAGCTTTGTTTAATACAGCCAGCTTCGTTTATCCAGCAAACTTTGTTTAGTACAGCTAGTTTCATTTAGTAAAGTTAGCTTTGTTAAGTACAGCTAGCAGATAACTTTGTTTAGTACAGCTAGCTTTTTAAGTACAGCTTGCTTTGTTTAGTAAAGCTAGCTTCGTTTAGTACAGCTAACATCGTTTAGTATAACTAGCTTCGTTTGTTACAGCTAGCTTCGTTTAGTACAGCTTACTTTTTTAAGTACAGCTAGCTTCATCTAGTAAAGTTACCTTTGTTAAGTACAGCTAACTTCGTTCAGTACAGCTAACTTCATTTAGTAAAGTTAGCTTTGTTTTTACACCTAGTTTCGTTTAGTACAGCTAGCTTCGTTTAGTACAGCTAACTTCGTTTAGTACAACTAGCTTTGTTTAGTACAGCTAGCTTCGTTTAGTACAGCAAACTTCGTTTAGTACAGCTAGCTTCATTAAGTAAAGTTACCTTTGTTCAGTACAGCTTACTTCGATTAGTGCAGCTTACTTCATTTAGTAAAGTTACCGTCGTTTAGTACAGCTAGCTTTGTTTTGTACAGCTAGCTTCGTTTAGAACAGCTAGCTTTGTTTAATACAGCCAGCTTCGTTTATCCAGCACACTTTGTTTAGTACAGCTTGTTTCATTTATTAAAGTTAGCTTTGTTTAGTACAACTAGCAGCTATCTTTCTTAAAGTACAGCTAGCTTTTTAAGTACAGCTTGCTTTGTTTAGTACAGGTAGCTTCTTTTAGTACAGCTAACATCGTTTAGTACAACTAGCTTCGTTTGTTACAGGTACCTTCGTTTAGTACAGCTAACTTTTTTAAGTACAGCTAGCTTCATCTAGTAAAGTTACCTTTGTTAAGTACAGCTAACTTCGTTTAGTACAGCTAGCTTCATTTAGTAAAGTTAGCTTTGTTTTTACACCTAGTTTCGTTTAGTACAGCTAGCTTCGTTTAGTACAGCTAACTTCGTTTAGTACAACTATTTTTGTTTAGTACAGCTAGCTTCGTTTAGTACAGCAAACTTCGTTTAGTACAGCTAGCTTCATTAAGTAAAGTTACCTTTGTTCAGTACAGCTTACTTCGATTAGTGCAGCTTACTTCATTTAGTAAAGTTACCGTCGTTTTGTACAGCTAGCTTTGTTTTGTACAGCTAGCTTCGTTTAGAACAGCTAGCTTTGTTTAATACAGCCAGCTTCGTTTATCCAGCACACTTTGTTTAGTACAGCTTGTTTCATTTATTAAAGTTAGCTTTGTTTAGTACAACTAGCAGCTATCTTTCTTAAGTACAGCTAGCTTTTTAAGTACAGCTTGCTTTGTTTAGTACAGGTAGCAGCTACCTTCGTGCAGTACAGCTGGCTTCGTTTAGTACAGCTCGCTTCGTTAAGTACAGCTAGCTTTGTTTAATACAGCCAGCTTCGTTTATCCAGCAAACTTTGTTTAGTACAGCTTGTTTCATTTATTAAAGTTAGCTTTGTTTAGTACAGCTAGCAGCTATCTTCGTTAAGTACAGCTAGCTTTTTTAAGTACAGCTTGCTTTGTTTAGTACAGGTAGCTTCGTTTAGTACAGCTAACATTGTTTAGTACACCTAGCTTCGTTTGTTACAGCTACCTTCGTTTAGTACAGCTAACTTTTTTAAGTACAGCTAGCTTCATCTAGTAAAGTTACCTTTGTTAAGTACAGCTAACTTCGTTTAGTACAGCTAGCTTCATTTAGTAAAGTTAGCTTTGTTTTTACACCTAGTTTCGTTTAGTACAGCTAGCTTCGTTTAGTACAGCTAACTTCGTTTAGTACAACTAGCTTTGTTTAGTACAGCTAGCTTCGTTTAGTACAGCAAACTTCGTTTAGTACAGCTAGCTTCATTAAGTAAAGTTACCTTTGTTCAGTACAGCTTACTTCGATTAGTGCAGCTTACTTCATTTAGTAAAGTTACCGTCGTTTAGTACAGCTAGCTTTGTTTTGTACAGCTAGCTTCGTTTAGAACAGCTAGCTTTGTTTAATACAGCCAGCTTCGTTTATCCAGCACACTTTGTTTAGTACAGCTTGTTTCATTTATTAAAGTTAGCTTTGTTTAGTACAACTAGCAGCTATCTTTCTTAAGTACAGCTAGCTTTTTAAGTACAGCTTGCTTTGTTTAGTACAGGTAGCTTCTTTTAGTACAGCTAACATCGTTTAGTACAACTAGCTTCGTTTGTTACAGGTACCTTCGTTTAGTACAGCTAACTTTTTTAAGTACAGCTAGCTTCATCTAGTAAAGTTACCTTTGTTAAGTACAGCTAACTTCGTTTAGTACAGCTAGCTTCATTTAGTAAAGTTAGCTTTGTTTTTACACCTAGTTTCGTTTAGTACAGCTAGCTTCGTTTAGTACAGCTAACTTCGTTTAGTACAACTATTTTTGTTTAGTACAGCTAGCTTCGTTTAGTACAGCAAACTTCGTTTAGTACAGCTAGCTTCATTAAGTAAAGTTACCTTTGTTCAGTACAGCTTACTTCGATTAGTGCAGCTTACTTCATTTAGTAAAGTTACCGTCGTTTTGTACAGCTAGCTTTGTTTTGTACAGCTAGCTTCGTTTAGAACAGCTAGCTTTGTTTAATACAGCCAGCTTCGTTTATCCAGCACACTTTGTTTAGTACAGCTTGTTTCATTTATTAAAGTTAGCTTTGTTTAGTACAACTAGCAGCTATCTTTCTTAAGTACAGCTAGCTTTTTAAGTACAGCTTGCTTTGTTTAGTACAGGTAGCTTCTTTTAGTACAGCTAACATCGTTTAGTACAACTAGCTTCGTTTGTTACAGGTACCTTCGTTTAGTACAGCTAACTTTTTTAAGTACAGCTAGCTTCATCTAGTAAAGTTACCTTTGTTAAGTACAGCTAACTTCGTTTAGTACAGCTAGCTTCATTTAGTAAAGTTAGCTTTGTTTTTACACCTAGTTTCGTTTAGTACAGCTAGCTTTGTTTAGTACAGCTAACTTCGTTTAGTACAACTAGCTTTGTTTAGTACAGCTAGCTTCGTTTAGTACAGCAAACTTCGTTTAGTACAGCTAGCTTCATTAAGTAAAGTTACCGTTGTTCAGTACAGCTTACTTCGATTAGTGCAGCTTACTTCATTTAGTAAAGTTACCGTCGTTTAGTACAGCTGGTTTTGTTTTGTACAGCTAGCTTCGTTTAGAACAGCTAGCTTTGTTAAGTATAGCTAGCATTGTTTTACTGTAGTTAGCTTTGTTTTTACACCTAGTTTCGTTTAGTACAGCAAGCTTCGTTTAGTACAGCTAACCTCGTTTTGTACAGCAAACTTTGTTTAGTACAGCTAGTTTTATTTAGTAAAGTTAGCTTTGTTTATTACAGCTAGCATATACCTTCGTTAAGTACAGCAAGCTTCTTTTAGTACAGCTAGCTTTGTTTAGTACAGCTAGCTTCGTTTAGTATAGCTAACTTCGTTTAGTACAGCTAGCTTTGTTTAGTACAGCTAGTTTCGTTTTATACAGCTAGCTAAGTTTAGTACAGCTAGTTTCGTTTTATACAGCTAGCTAAGTTTAGTACAGCTAGCTTCGTTTGGTACAGCTAGCTTCGTTTAGTACAGCTAGCTAAGTTTAGTACAGCTAGTTTCGTTTTATACAGCTAGCTAAGTTTAGTACAGCTAGCTTTGTTTGGTACAGCTAGCTTAGTTTAGTACAGCTAGCTTCGTTTGTTACAGTTAGCTTCGTTTGTTACAGCTAGCTTCGTTTGTTACAGCTAGCTTTGTTAAGTACAGCTAGCTTCGCTTAATACAGCTAGCTAAGTTTAGTACAACTAGCTTAGTAAAGTACACGTAGCCCATTTTTTCAGATCTTTTTACAGTTAAAAATTAAACTCAGATTTCTGTAATTAAACTTGCCATCATAGACAATTTTGTAGAGTATTCTTTATTTAAAACATTTGATTGTTCAATCTAACACATACCAGTTGATTGAACGGGTTGAATGGCGTGTCCCTTTCGATGACCTTGTTTAGTTAAGCAGCATATTACAGTCATGCAACAGCCGAAGAAGACGAGACAGCCTATCACTATACCAATTATTGCTCCAACTGTCAATGTATTCTTAGAGCTTAAAAAGTACAACAAAGAATTTGATAAATAATATGGTATTTTGCATTTATAAACAAATATTAAATATATAAATTAATGCAAAAAATAAAAGAGTTCAGCCAAAAGTAATTTTAAAAACTATCCGAGGCCCTAAGCTTTAAGAAGTTGAGATCTAAGTAGCTTGCAATATGTCATATTTTATAAAGTGGCCAATTAGAAATTCGTAGATGTATATACATGTAGCCTGTACCAGTATAATATTGAATGAACATATATTTTATGCACTAAATGGCAATGCACTGTATGATTGATTGAATCTAAGTACGACATTTAAATTTCAGGGATTGAAATAAATAAAAATGATTTATTTTTCCTTACCAACATTTGGTATCGTATTCACAACAGTAGTATCCGTCCTCACAATAGGTTAAATATGAGCAGTATTCCCCGCTAATTACACCTAGAAAACATGAAGTGTAATTGTGTCTTTAAACAATGTTCATGTGTGAATTTAAGTTTTGTGGGATAGATACATGCACATAGAACAAATAACTATAGTAAAAAGTAGAAAGTCAGAAAGGGATTGTGGTAAAAAAGAAAAAAATATAAATTATGTTTGTCATTCAAATAGTCTTAAAATTATATAAATACTTTTATGACTTCATAAACACAAACATGTTTGTGTGTCATATTACATGCACATAATATCATAAAGAGCAATGAGCATATTGTATGTTTATGCTGTATAAACTCTTGAAACTACATTGTATGTCTAGCTGATATTTTTCTGATGTCCTCAACCGCATACGCCGATCGATACACAATGTTTACCTATTTTTTTTCCTAGATCGTGACAACAAATACACCATCGGACAGAAAATTTAATTTTGTTCCAGAATTATATTCATTAAATTCATAAACAAAGATAAAAGAATTTAAAATGGCGAAAATGACTGTTCTTTAATAGTTTATGCGCTTACAAAATCGACGAAGGACATGCGTAGAGCAATTTATAAATATTTACAGAAACCAAATTTACAGTAAGTCGTCGCCAAAAGTTCTTTTTAAAAATATTAATTCTTCCCTGTGAAACTTGCTTAAGATAGAAAATGAAAGCAGAAATGACCAGTGAATAACTATCGTCTGTCATTTTGTTTTTTATTTTTTTCTTTTATATATTTTTATTCTTAATTTTTTTCATTTTATTTTCCTTTTTTGTCTTTTCTCAATACAAATTGATACAACAATCTTTATCTTTTATAATAATCCTTTAAATGAATGAATCTGAAATTTATCCTTAATGACTCCATTTTGTTGAATTTATTTTTTCAAGTTTATTTACGTCTTCCCAGATTTTATTAAATATTTATTATTTTCAGTGATTTTTGAAATCATAAATGAATTGCATGACTACATGAAATCAGACAAAATCATTCGCTTCGTCTTAAATTCATACGTCATGATATGTATTGCTGACAGTAGTAGTATAGTTCGGACAGACATTTTGTCTGCGTCACTGTTTCTATGTTATCCCGTTAGGAGACTCTATGTTACCCCTTTTTAGGGGATACTCCAATCATAAATAGATTATCCTTTAAAATCTTACCAATAAATTATAAGTCATGTAACGTTATAAGTCAATACAAAGATAGTAGAGCGCAAAATTACCCTTACAGTTCTTTATTAGTGTTAACAATAAAATAGTAATAGGATAGTATCCTAATCAGATGACAACTTAAAATACAGTAAAACGATTTATTCACACCGAAAGCAACTGTGACCACGTGACCACAAAAGACAACGTACACTTCCTAAATGAGCCAAAATACATCGGCTGATGTAAGTTATTTTGTGATTATTTTTCTATGAGCCGATGTACTGGTATATTATGATACATAGCCTACCGACCGCGGCATTTCCGACGCTTTCTGAATATGCATTTGGTGTCGTCTAACGTTTTGTATTTTCTGAGAACATTCAAACAATATTTACAAATTTGTCGATGACAACATATACACTATTGTGAAAAATTATTGATAATAATTTTATAAACGATACGCATGTTATTGTAAAGTAAAATTTCGCGTATAAGAGAATGTTTGAATGCATAAAGAACGGGTTTCCTGCTGTCGTTTTGTCGTAATTATTTTTAAATGGTCCAACTTACAGAAATGTCAACGTACACGTACAGTCAAGAAAATGTCAACGCATACACTCACAATTTAGCGAACATATGGCTGCAACTTCGGAGAAGGTGGCTTTTTCCAACAAAAATTTGAATCTCTATTTAGATTGCCCTCTCAAACTGTATATCAATACTGTCTTGTTTATACAAAAGACTAAGTTTTCGAGTGCATTCATTTCATTGCAAATAAGCATAAACAATATTTAACTTTTTGAATGTTATTCATTTGTTCTTTTGTTTTCTAGGAGAAAATATTTCCGTTTACTCAGAGTGGTTGATCATGATGATTTGCTGAAACAGCTACATTCTTTAAAAGGTTCGTATATTTAATACTGTATTAATATATATGTCGTAATACAGTCCTTTAATTACGCAAACAGCCAGGATTAGCGTCTCTTGCTCAAGCAAGCTAGTGCCTTCCGAAGCAACAAGTGTCCGGGGTTGACGAT